CCGCCAGGCTCTCTTCGATGCAATCGAGGGACGTGCGAGTCGCGACTACTTTGATGGGAGCATCACTGAAGGCGCAAGCTTGCCCTCTTGCGAGCATCTCCGTTTGTTCGCCTCCTACCTCTCCAGCTACTATGGAGACTCTGCTGACCTTCGACTCTTTCACAAAAGTCAGTCAGCCTCCGTTCAGTGTACCTCGGGCGTCTGTCAGGGCGATGTCCCCTCCAGCGTGTTTTTCTGCCACAGTATCCACCCCCTGCTCCTCCATATCGCAGAGCTTTTTCCCTCTGTTCGAGTCTTGGCCTATGCTGACAACGCTCGCGAGTCGAAAGTTTACATCCCCTCCTGGCATCAACACCCTGATCTCTCGCAGCTGAAGAAGAGCCTTAAGCGCCGTCTCAAGACTCAACTCCTTCACTTCGAGGTCGTCACTGGCGGGATTACACTTGGCGGCCTGCCTATCGGCACGGATGGATTTCATGCTAGTCAGCTCCGAGCGAAGGTCTCTACCCTCAACGACGAGCTCTCGAAGCTCGGGCTCGTCCAGCATGGCTTCATGTTCAAGACGCTGGTGAGGGCGAGCCATCTCCAGAAGCTCCGCTTCTTCCTCCAGGGGTCATCTCCGTTTCTCCCGCGGGTCCAGTCACAGATTCGTCGCTTTGACCTCTCTGTCCACCTGGCGCTTGAGAAATACCACCGCTGGCCTTCCTCGCAGTACCTCGCCGCGCATCCCGACCTGCTAGAGTTTGCCGCAGGTTCAAGCGGGAGCTTCCGCATAGTCGGGGAGGGGACGAGTTCACGCCCTCTGAGGGTCTACACCCCGCTGTTTACTATACGGCTATCGCTCGCTTCCTCGCTTGGTACTCTGACCAGCCCATGTCCCGGATGTTGCCCTCTCCTCATAGCCTGGACGTTCACTGCTCGAGATCTCTCCGTGCCCAGAAGCATCCTCTGGCGACCTTCTTCGTTGAGGCGCACGACTTCGTTCATAATGCTGGAGCGATCCTCTACCGTCGTGTGAAGGCTCCTGCACCGGCTGCAGATGGCGCGGCGATCCCACCTGCCCCGGCTGCTGTGCCTGATGACGCAGGACGCCCCCCGGCATCTGTGGTACACATCCCTGGTTTGCGCGCTCTCGTCGACTCGTCTCATGAGCACTTCAAGCTTCATTCCTCCGCCTGCGCAGCGAAATGTGACCCCTCTTGTCATGCGCGTCTTCCCTCGCCATGTGCATGCTCGCGCTGCGCTGACCGATCAGCAGCGTGATAACCTCACCTTGCACAGCCGCAGGACACACTCGCTCAAGTCGCAGGATAGGGTCTTGCAGTCTACCATCTTCGCTCATTTTCCTGAGCGAGACCTGAGCCACTCTCCGATGCGAGTCTCGAGCTACTACCCCCTCAAGGCCTTCCCGCACCCCTATGCTCAGATGCTCGACTGCTATCTCCATGGCATGCCGATCTGCCAGTA